TAGATTTGGAATGTTCTCAACACAAATTACAAATGTTTGAGGTGATGGATATCCCAATTACCCTAATTTGACCATTATGCTTGTATGAAAATATCACATGTGCCCTGTAAATATGTACAACTATTATGTACCCATAACAATTGAATATAAAATAAACTTTGTTAACATAAAAAAATCACTCAATCATGTGGGAATTTGCCAGCTCAGGTCTTGTCATAAATTTGTTTAACATAGTTGCTGCCTTGGCATCCATTTTTAGCTTTGATGTAAGTTATCTGAAACCTAGTCATAACCCATCACCACTGGCCTAGCAAAAACTTCCCCGCCCTGTGTAGAACTCCTGACCACACAACACCTGACTGTAACCGGAGTCATATAAGTAAGTTCCTACTCCCTAATTTTTCAAATGTTTTCTTGAAACTAGCCAATCCACTATCCTCACAGGAAAGCCTAAGGAATAACCATGGACATTAATAAAGACAAAGTCCACAGATTCTCTCTACGTCTAGCTCCCCAGCTGCTGGTTAAATTTCCTGTGACCTCCAGACTTCCCATGGGCCTCTTGTCAGCACTCCTAATTCTCTGGGTCCTGTGAGTCATAATTTTTTGCTTCACGCATTTTGGTTTCACCTCTTCATTGTGCCTCACTTGACCAACACACTCTAACCCAACTTTTCCCTGGTCAGGGCCCTTCTAGAGAGTGGCTATCTTGGTTGATAGGTACTCTTAAAAGAGGCCTTAAGACCAAATGAGAAAGAAACCATAACAATAGATGTCACTTAAACATATATATGTCTATTAATATCATATTTGCGAACTATCTAAGGCAATCTGTGGATCATTTTCCTCTTTGGTATCAACAGTAAATACTGAGCACTAAAGGGTATATAAGAGAGAGCTTGTGAACAAATAGTGCATTTCTTTAGCAAGATTCTAAACCGTATACTAATGATTTGGATATTCTTTCATACTGAACATGCTTTTCCTTACTAATAGCACACGGAACTGGCTAGGTAATTCAGTATGCCAGCACATTTGGGAATAGCAATTTTGAGCTGTGGAACCCAGATCAGCTGTACCAGAATTGCCTGTTGGCTGGTGAAAAGTCCTCTTCACTCTGCATCTCCCCACCCCCAACCCTGCACCAGACACAACATACAAGAGTCTCTTGAAATGGGGCCCAGGAATCTTCATGTTTAACAAGCTCACTGGATATTTCTTACTCAGAGTGAAGTTTGGAAAACTGGGCTTAAGATACAACATGTTGTGATGATAGTAACTTTTCAATATCACAACCTTTTCCCTTCAAACTGTTGGGGACGCCTCATCAAAAAATGTAATCTTTTTCTTTGCTTTGAGAAAAATTTCATTACTATGGCCAGTCTAAAATTACCTTTCAAAGCATTCATATCAGCATTATGGATACAATTTAATTGTAGATAACTAAAAACTAACAAACCAGGAAGAAAAAGTTTCTGTTGTTCACAGGCTCTGGTTCCTGACTGTTTCAGAGCACAAACTGAAGCAGGTAGCTTCTCTGCTTCAGTACTTCAGGTGTAGTTCTCAGGAACAAGAGGTTCCTTGTGGGTCTTCACCCTTCCTATCAGGATGCTCTCCCTATATATTGCTGTCCTCACAGTGTGCCTCGCATTTAGTGCCATGCACATGCCATGATCATGCTACAGTAATTTCTCACCTGGGTAACTGCTCACTTTCAGTGAACAATGGTCAGTTTTTGTTGTTTCTTCATGTTATATTTGTTCTGAATATATTTATTGAAATGTACTTTTATGTCTTTTATATCTTTTGCGTGTTTTTGCACTTCACTTTTTTTTGCCTCAACATACTTCAACAAAATTTTTTTGCCTCAATGCGTTTTTCTTTTTCTTTTTCTTTTTTTTTTTTTTTTTTTTTTGAGACAGAGTTTCACTCTTGTTGCCCAGGCTGGGGTGCAATGGTGCAATCTCAGCTCACCACAACCTTCGCCTCCCAGGTTCAAGCGATTCCCCTGCCTCAGCCTCCCAGGTAGCTAGCATTACAGGCATAGACTACTACGCCCAGCTAATTTTTGTATTTTTAGTATAGGCGGGGTTTCACCATCTTGGCCAGCCTAGTCTTGAACTCCTGACCTTGTGAGCCACCTGCCTTGGCCTCCCAAAGTGCTGGGAATATAGGTGTGAGCCACCACACCTGGTCACATTTTTCTTATAACTGATTTTTATTACATTTTAAAATGCATAGCTAAGTGACAGATTTTAAAAATTATTTCTTTGCCAAATATTAAATATACAGAGCAAAGCACTGCTCCATATATTATACTCCTTTAAACAAATTCAGACAAAACACAGCTCTAGTGTTTTAGTGTTTTCTCACTTGCAAAAGAGTAGACGGTTGTATTAGATTATCCATGAGATTCTCCAGCTCTGTCATTGTCTGTGGATATAGTTAGAGCTCATTTTTCCTACAAGTGGATCATGCACTTTGTGAATTATCCATAACAAACTTTTATATGTACAGCTGACTTTCTGCTGCCTCTCATTATAACTCTGAACCACCTCCTACTGTGAGATTGTGTGGGTTTAAAGAATACAGAACATTTTAATAATAGCCCAATCAAAATGTAATTAGGAAAAGGTAATTTTGCACCAAAATACCACATCAAAGACAAATTCCAGATATTTCTTATCATCTGCTATTTTAGATTACCATTTTTCCCCTCCACTTGTACAGGTGTAATTCTTTCATCTTGGCTTTTTTAAAGTGCCAAAGACTCAACAGAACTGTTAGCTGCAAATCTACTTCTGAAACTTGTCAACCTCTCTCACTTTATGTTTCACATCAGCCATAGTAAATTTTCTTTTACATTTTTATTGATGACCACATCATATCTTTTTAACATGTGCTGCAGAAGCAGGTTTTGTTTTTTTTAAAAAAAATGTATTTAACCCAGCAGAAACTTAGAAAACAAAGTATTTTATATTAAGACATTATATTCCTTTTTCACAGAACATGTAGACAAAACAAATCTAAAGGGTGATCCAATTAAATAAATTTCTGCCTTTGGGGGCTAGAACCTCTGAGTTAGTTCTCAAAGTCTGCATGTTTCACATTCAGTACCTAACAAGATATTCCTGACTGCAAGCTTAAAGTAAGCAATGACATCACAATATGTATTACTCTGAGTGTTTTTAAAACATGCTGACCCTCTGAAAGTTTCCAAATGGCTTCTTTGTGTGCTGTTACAGACCATCTGGCTAGCTATAGATAAACAAGTTTCAACATATGGGCCATAGCACATACATGGCTCTGCTCCACTAGCACAGAAAATTAAGAAAAGGATGCTCTCATGATATGAGTAACTAACTCATGCAAGAGAAGCAGGACCATGTAGTGGAGGGCCTCACCTAAGGAGCACACAGAATAGCTTAATTCCAGTTCCTTCTCTTCCATTCACGGCGCATGTCACTTGATCATAGCAAGTCTTCTCTATTTCCTCATAGAAACATTTTTTAAAGATGCCAGTCAACTCTTGCCTCTCTCTACTTCCTGCCTTCCTTCCCATTAAGACATACCTATTATGGGCCTACCATATATGTGCTCCCAGGATGGTGCTAGGTAATGGGCATATTGCTGAGAAAAACAGACATGGTCCCTACCCTTGAAGATTTACTGGGCAATAATGAAAACATACATCAAATAAATGAGACCAGGAATAATATTGTAGACCAAGAGGGAAAGCATGTGTGAAGGTCCTGAGATCAGAAGGAGCATGAACAATTTTTTAAAACTCCAATATTTAGAAACATTTACAGCCATTAAATTGAAAACTCAATTGACAATCAAAATGCTGAAAGGGAAATTCCCACTATCTCCAGATGATAATTCAGACAATTATCATATTAGCATAAACTATTTGAAAAATTCCATGCATTTTCTATTCAATTCCATTCATATTGTCGACCTACCGCCTGCAATCAATGAACCTAATAAAACTACACAAAAATATGATCATCAAATACATGCACAAGCATATCAAGCCCATAACAACATGATCAATGCTTTCAGTTATTGAATAGTTGCTAAAAAACCTAGGAATGTTGAGTGTCTCCTATTTAATATTTACAGAATAAAACTAAATGCTAAGGCAACAGTGATTCAGTTTTCTCTTACAAGTAAGTGCTTTACTTCTCAAGCATGGTTTCCCAATACTCAACCTTGCCAGAAAATGACAGCTGATACCCTGGGAGTGAGAAGAGGAATGGTCATTCTTGCTTGAGTAGTCATTATATACAAAATGTTCGTTTCAATGAGTTTTCCCAATTCTTAGTTAAAACAAAAGCTGTGTCTTTGGCACAAATTATGTCACATGTGAAATTGTATTAATGATTTATTTTTCTCATTCCCTTTCCATTTCTATTTTTTCCTTTCATTTAGCTGCCATATATTTAAAGCATAGTATACACAGGAAGCTCAGCCTCTGTAGCTAGAATGAAACAGAGTTCAATAATCGGGCATTCATGTCAGGCAAGATAAAGAGCCAATTTGAATCATGAAGGTCTTAATAAAAAATTAAACAACACATTTGAAAACCTGAATCAATCCAACTAACCATAGTGCCCTGTCTTATACTACAGGAAAGAAAAATGCCACTCCCTAAAACCTGCTATAGCACTTACTATACTATATTGTGACAAACCAAGACAGATCTGCCTTCTACCTGATGACAAACTCCTTAAAAGCAAGGATTGTGCCATACCCATCTTTGTCCCCTCAATGTCTGCAGAGCTGAATGTGGCAGGAGCCCAAGCAATGCTCATTAATCAGATCAACTAATGAAGAGTAATTGTTTTAAAAATAAAAAGTCACTAAGTGAATGAATCCTCACAGTGAAATGTGATTAAATCCAGACCTGTCTTAGCTACCTTTTTGGATTTTAGCAAACATGTAAAGTGTTTGCCCTTCAGTCATTCAGCAGACAGCAATATGTATGACATACGACCTTTAATTAAAAATCTTTACTTCTGTTGCTTTATTTCAGCTACAAATAAAGTTTATTTGATGTAATGTAATAAAACATTTTCAAGTTTAACAATATGTATCTGACCATAAATAATCATTTAAATTATGAATATAAGTATATACGGTCACTTTAGCAAATTTGCGGTTCAGGAATTTATACAAGCTTTGTCTGAAAGGACAGTGCCCTCCTCCTCTTTCAGGAAAGGCAGCCCTTCCCCATGTCTGGTAAGAAGCAATGTCAATGGGAGTTAGAAGAAGTCCATAATCCATGTTGGAATTCCACTTTATCCTGTGAGAGGACAGCTTGCTTTATTGTAGGAAAATAATATTCTCTTTCAGTTCTCTCTTATCAAATAAAGAATTACATTCATTTATCCCCTTCTAGGTGCAGGTACTCATCTATTCTCATCTACTGTCCTGTCTCCTTAGTGCCATTTAAAAATATATATATCCACAAAGAGACCTTTTCTGTTTCTTTACCTACCCTTCATGTCTACCAGTTTTTGGTGGGTGGGGGTAGGAATCAGGGGACAGAATTGCTTAGGCACACATTTGATTTAAGATACAGAGAACACAAAAACAAATTATCTAGAAGGAACAGACTGGTGTTCTAAAGCATTTCCCAAGAGTGGTCCCAGTGACCTCGCTTCACACAATTTGGTTTAATGCAATGCAGCTCAACAAGAATGAACATGTTTATGCCCCATCTCCAGAAGCATCACAACCTTTCACGGAAAAACCCACACTTCTTCCACATAACATACAGTTATAGGCCAGCCCATGGGTGGGCCCACTGCACCCTTGTAGAAAATGAGAGTCTAAAACATGCCAATAATCATGTTAATTACAATGCAGTTGGGTACCACTTGCTCTTCACTAAGATAAAAATCCTCCCAGAAGATATGCTCCTCACCTCTCAGGACCCTTCAGAGCACAAGAAAAAGCTTTGTTCAAGTTGTATGCTTCTCTCCATCTTGTTCCTGAGTTATACCATAATAAGTGAGTTAACAAGAAAAGTACATTGGTGGGGAAATCGCAGAGACCCCGCGGAAAAGCCAAACTATTTGACAGAAGCTTGAAACAAACACTGCTCTGGGAAATCATTTGTATTAGCTGATGACTGGATTCTGTTTTCTAACATGGACATGCAACATATTCAACGCTCACCGCAGTTTGCTTGGAAAACCCTTCTGTCATACAACAAAATACATTCTGTCTCATGAATGATTCCTGCATATTCACCACAACGCCTAGACTCAGAAGCATGAGAAGTGTGCATTGGAACATTCTCCCACTTGCATGGATTTGGACATATGCAAAGCACCAGAAACTGCTTCCTTTCTGGAACTCAGTTCTGTCGATGTGCTTACTGCTGAGATGATCTGCTATCTTAAACTGAGAACACACAATAGCACTGATCCACAGAAAAAAGGAGAGGTCACCATCTCCCTTGTAAGATAGTGTGTACAACAGATCACCCTGTTTGTTACGTTTTAGCCATCGCAAAAAAGGACAGAAGCCGCATTCCATTCTGCAGTCTCAGCAAATGACTTCCTTCTGTTTCCAACTCTGTTTTGCCTTATTTCATCTCCATTGTTCAGCTTTCGATCATGAATCATGACCTTTTTTTCTACAGTAGTCAGTGGTTTGTCTAAAAAAAGAGAGAGAGAGAGAGAAATAGGAAAATTATTTAGCAGAACCGTAAATGTGAGTTTTCATTTTATGGTGGGTGGACTTAATTTTTACAGCAGTCAGTACTTTGAATCATTTGTGGCTTCTAAGAGATTATGAGTATCCTTAAAGGGAAAGAAAAAGTGCTGTGATACTTTTAATAAATTTCGTAACTTCTACAAGTTGCCAAGGCTTTAATATATTTGCAAATCGGCCCCAAATAACCCATTTGGAAATCTACTTTTTTAATACAGCTATAGCCAAAAATGACTTTGCTCTCAAAAATCCTTGCAAAATACTAGTGTACGCACTCTACGTGAAAAGAATAATGACTAATGATTACCAGTGAGAAGTGTTCTCGCCCTCAAACCTAGGGAGGTATATTATTGTAAGGGATGTGTGCAGAGACCAAGAAACTTCACTTCTCTCCCTTGTTCCTAGATGCACAGAAGTGGCATTAGTGACACAGAAGTGTTAGACATTGGCTGAGAAAAAGTCCCTTTCTCCTTGTGTAAAGCCACTCTCCCCTAACTCTGCACCTCCACAGTCCTCGACTTACCACGCTACATTATGTGCTTAAGGGTTAAATCTATGAGGATTGTGCACCCAACCTCAGACTACCCACCCCATCTAAAGCATCCCCACCCTGCCATTTGGCTGTTTTGCCTGCAGTCCTGCTCCTCCTTCTTCAAGGTCCCCCTCTCAGCCCAGCCCTTCAGATGGGTGATAAATAGATGGATTTTGCTGGAGACATGGCTTCTGGCTTTGCCGCTCAGCCTCACGCAGTGACACTTGAGGCCAAGTGCTGGACCTCAGCCCAGACCCAGCACTCGAGGCTCCTAGGTATCTGAAGAGGGGACTGGCAACCATCTGTGCTCCACAGACACATTCCTAGCCCAGGACCTCTGACTCTTCCCAGCACAGCAGAGACCACACTTTCTCTTCAGCTCAGCATTGCTCTGCTCACACAGTTCATGTTCTGAATTCCTCCAGACCACAGCACTATCTCCAAAGTCTCCCTTTCCTTGCTACCCACCTGCTAACCAATTGTGATGGTCTGAAGATTGTACCACCCACACAGACACCCATGGCCTCTTTCCTGGTCTCAATAGCACCCTCCTTGTGCAGGCCCTCCTGGCATGAGACTCCACTTTTACATCAGTCTCCTAACCCATCTCCTTTCTCCTACTGTGAAGCCTTCCATACATCATTTATACTGCATCTCTGGTTTCATACCTGCTCAAAAGCCTTCATCTCTCTCCCTCACACCTGCCCACCTAGCCCTCCATGCTGACCATAGGCTACCCAGCTTCCCAGTACTGCTAACGACATGCCTCAAACTTCTTGTCTACCTCTATCAACATCTGTGCCCCTCTGTCCATGCTATCCCCTCTGCCTTGAGCAGCCACCACTCCACCTCCACCCCTATTATGCCTTCTTGTTAAAATCCTACTCTTTCTTCTAGACCCACCTCACATATCCCCGTTCTTGATTTCTACCATGGATATTTTCTTCCTAAGAATGCCCCTCAAGACATATTTTTCTTCTGTACTCCTCTGTACTGCTTGATTTTATGTTGTGCTATGTGTATTTATTATCTACTAATAGAACAAAAATATATAAATATTAGAAAAAGCAAGGGAGGGCAATCACCTGCCTTCCTTACTTTAAAGAGATGTTGCAAAGTTAAAATGTAGGCAATTGCAAAGCAGGAAGCAAATAAGCTATTATTACTAATTGATGATTTAGTGAAAATAAAATGATGATTTAATGAAAATAAATCATCTGTGGGGAAGAAAAGTCCACGAAATAGCAAACTTTTTGTTTGTTTCTACCTATAAGGTAGTATCCCATCAGACACCCCAGGGTTTCAGAAGCCTTGATGCTTCTTCCCAATTGCTTCTGGGATCTGTTTTGTTGTTTTATTTATTTTTTTATTTGATTTCCACAAAGAAAGGTTAGCTTCAAGACAAACCCTGGAGCACTGTATTGGCAGAATTCATGGCAGAAACCCCAGGGTACTCTGCTACGAGTCACCACTAGAAACCCCTGCAATTGACAGGGGTTAAAAGAGGCTCTTTGACAACAACAATGCAATCACCAGGAAAAAAAAAAAAAAAAAAAAAAAAAAAAAAAAAAAAAAAAAAAAAAAAAAAAAAAAAAAAAAAAAAAGAGCAGGAAAGGAAAAGCTACTTCAAAACAATTTCATGGCATTCTTTTATATGGAAGTATTGTAGAAAGTGCTATTCAATATTATTCATAAATTATGTCAACAAAATTAATCAAAACATACTTAAAAGCAATTTATGACAATTCAAAGTAAATCCATAAGTAATCAAATTAAAAGGGAAAACAAGAATCCCTGATTATATCACATTATCACACTTGGTTTTATATTACCGACCTTTGAATATTTGTGAAAAGGATTAAAATTGAGAGCAGAAAATTAAAATTACCAGTGCAAAAGTATTCATAGCATTTTCTCCCCTCTATTCACTCCATCACCCCAGGGAAAATTCCTGGGTGCCTGCTGAACTCCTGAGGTTCTGGTTATGCTGATCAAGAAAATAGGGGAAAATAGATAAATATTTGGGAGTAGTAATACAGTCTCATAGGCTTACACAGGAAAGAAAAAAACTACTTGTTGGAAAATATGTAGAGCCAAGAAGGCGGAGCAAGGTGAAAAGGTAAGAGAGACTAGAAGCCCAGAAGCTAGATGGGAGAAAAAGGGCTGGAGAAAGCCCAGAGTCTGTAGGGTTGCCACAAGATGAGAGAGAGAGGCATGGGGAGCAACAGGTTCTGATTACAAGTCTCCTACTAGCCACCACCACTTCTACAGCCACCCCAGCCCACTAGATTAAAAGCTTCCAGAGAATATAACTGTCACTTACTCATCTTTCTACCCTACTATGCCTGTTGCCATGCCTTGTACATAGCAGACCCTCAGATGTTTCTCGGAAAAACAAGCCAATGAGGAGACTCCTTACATCCATTTTCTACCTTCTAAGTTATCCACACAGTGCCACTGAATCAGTCTTGACCATTTTGATGACTCCATTCTCCTACTTGCAGATTCACCGATGGCTTACTGCTATTTACACCAGAGTCTCCCAACTTTAGCATTAGGACCAGGTACTTCTTTACTTCTTTTCTTTTTTTTTTTTTTTTTTTNGAGTGCAATGGCGCGATCTCGGCTCACCGCAACCTCCACCTCCTGGGTTCAGGCAATTCTCCTGCCTCAGCCTCCTGAGTAGCTGGGATTACAGGCACGCGTCACCATTCCTGATGTTTTTTGTATTTTTAGTAGAGACGGGGTGTCACCATGTTGACCAGGATGGTCACGATCTCTTGACCTCGTGATCCACCCACCTCGGCCTCCCAAAGTGCTGGGATTACAGGCTTGAGCCACCGTGCCTGGCCCAGAAGATCCTTTATAATTTTGTCTCAAACTACTTTTCTGCTTGGATCTCCAACAGTTCCTGCACCCAAATGCTTAGCTGCAGGCAGATGGTCCTTTGATAAGCTCCCACATTGGTGCCCTGACAAAAAAAGTCCTCTTCACCTGGAATATCATTTCTGCTCTCCTTTTGCTATAAATGCTTTGACCATCTTCATAGACATGCTTGAGCCCATGTCCTTCAGGAAGCCTTCTCTGATCAGAGTTAATGTAAGCTCTGAGTTATTTTCCTTTCCTTTGAATCTTATAGCTTTTCCTCTCTCCACCTTTCCTTATTACAAAAAGGCTGAGTGTGCATATGTCTTAGTTTAGCCAGGCTGCTATAACAAAATACCATAAACTGGTAGCTTATAAACAACAGAAATTTATTTCTCATAGTTCTAGAGGCTGAGAAATCCAAGATTAAGGCACCAGAAGATCCCATGTCTGGTGCGGGCTCACTGTCTGCTTCATAGATGGTAACTTCCAGCTGCATCCTACATGGTAGAAGGTGTGAACGAGCTCCCTCAGGCCTCTTTTATAAGGCCATTCATGAGGGCCCTGTCCTTATGACCTAATTACCTCCTAAAGAACCCACATTTTCATACTATTGCATTGGGGATTTGTTTCAAAATATGAATTCTGCAGGAGACACATTCAGGCCATAGCAACATGTCTGTTTGTGTAAGGTATGTCCAACAAAAATATATGCACAAGGACATGAAAGAATATGTTTTCTGTATCTTCCTCAATGCATGGAAGCTATGTTAGAAATTTCCTAGAGATGATGGATATTTTTAGGCTAATCATCTTTAATGAAGTTAATATTCTGTAATTATTTAAACTGAGAGAGATGTAAAGACGATACAGCAAACTATGGCCTGTGGACTAAATACAACTAGAAGCCTCTTTTCACAAATAAAGTTTTATTGGTACACAGGCCTATCCATCTGTTTACTTATTCAGTGACAAAGACTGACATGAGTAGTTTCAATAGAGACCATATGGTTAGCAATGCTTAAAATATTTACCACCTGGTCCTTCACAGTTAAAGTTTGCTGACCCCTGTTTTAAGCTAACAAGAAAATAACACCCAAGCCTCCAGACTAGCTGAAGATACAAAGGCAAATATCTTTAGATTTAATGTTAGCTGATTTATTTTTATAAAAGGCACAGTAGCATACAAGTTAAAAGCACTTTTGAACACAGACATCCTGGGCTCAAATCCAGCTCTATCATTCTCTGTATGACTGTGGGGAAATTATTTTACTTCTCCAAGCCCTTGTTTTGTTATTTTCAGAATGGAAATAAGAAAACTAACTTATCATAAACTTTTGAGGATTAATTGATCAAATTCACCTAAAGTGCTCACCAAAGTACCTGAGAGTGAATCCTCAGGAAACCCATGTTATTTAAAATTGGAAAGCCTTTTTGTGTTACATTTTAAAGATTACTATTTTGTGATCTATCTGAATTATGTCTGAATTATTAACTAAAATATTCAACAAAATTATTCTCAATTCCTTCGACCCTATAAGATGCATAGAAAGATAGCAGTGTTTCCTAGCTCATGACTTTATCTGTCCTTTCCTAGTTTATACACTGGCTGCTTAACTGGATCTCCTGGCACCCATCTTCCCCTTGTCTGCCCTCCTCACTATTGCTGGGGAGAGCTTCCTAAATCACATCACTCAGCATGTTACTCCTAAGAACTAAAACCAACATGCTTTTCTTTTCCTGTGCTAAACAGTGCTGGAGCCTGGCAAAATAACCTAGCTATTTGTTCTAGGAAATAGTTACTTTCAGAAGATAAGACTATATGTCAACTAAAGTAGCCTACTTTTCAAGACTAATAGTTTGCTCATTAACACTCACTTCACAGTCCTCATCTAGCTGTACTTACCAGTCTAAAGCTATTATGTCATAAACTCTGCCTAATCCCCACCTTCAAATCACCCAGCACAAGCCCCAAAACTCTGTCGATATCCTTGCCCAATTTCCTTCTTCTGAGAAACTACTAAGACTGTCTAGGAGGTGTCCACTTGCAACGCAGTAAGTCTAATAAACTTTACTTACTTAAAATAACAAGTCATTCTCATTGTCTTCTCAGAGAGCTTATAGCTAGTCTCCAGCTCAAAAATATTCTGAGACTCTTCACTGCCTATAAACTAAAGTTACTTGACAAGTAGTATTGCATAACATTCAATACAATCATCAGAGTGATTCATACCACAGCTACTACTACCATAGGTCAATTACTTTATGTTCCAGAGCTTTAATTTGTCCTTCTGAAAGGTGGTGGGGATGCTAGAAGCATCTATTCTGCAGGTAGCATGCTATTTAGCAAGTAGCAGTTGTTCAATAATGGTTAGCAGTTATTACTTTTATTTATCATCTATTACATGTCAGGCACTGTACTAGATTCTGTGGAAAGAAACCTGATTAAGACATAGCTCCTTCTCTGAAGAAATTCAGAATCTGGTGGGAAAATCCTAGGGGTCAATTCAATGAACTCTTACAGGCATAGTAAGATCTCTGGATTTGTTCATAGTTCATGTTCTAGAACCCAAAATTACATTATTTTTTAATATTACTTTTTATATTGTGAACAATTTCATATACACCAAAAGAGTATATAGAAGTAAACATGAATGCCTGTGAAGCTCCACTCAGCTTAAGAATTAGCATAGCTGTAGTCTTGCAACTTTCAGTTGTAAGATAAAGACAGTCCAGTATAAGAAAAATGAGTAGCACTGGGATTCAGATGATGTGGGATCTAGACTTAGTTGTGACACTAGCTAAGTGTGAGTTTTTCAACTTTTCAACTCCCAGGTAGCTCTTCTGCTCAATGACAGGGCTGGACAAGGTGATCAGGAAAGCCCCTATCAGCTAGAGTGGTCCATGGTTCTCTAGTCTACTCCTTCCTGTCAGGCTCAGTGAAGAGAGAGGCCTCCAACATTAATCTGCTCACTCTCTCACCAGCATCTTCCAATTTTTCATTCCAAGTTTCTTTTTCCCTTGGCTTTCAAACATGGAGGAATCTCCTCCACCACAAATTTAAAACAAAGTCTTCATTTGACATGCTGACACGTCTAACTAGTATAGTATCTCCTTCCTTCTTTACAATGCCAATTTTTTAACATGTGGGTCACTTCTGAAATTTACATTTCTCCATTACCATCGATTCTTTTTCAGATCTCAAGACCCCATTATAATTGCTTCCTTGAAAGTCACTAAGACTTCTTAAACAAATTCAACAACTCTTTATCAGTTCTCACCTACCAAGATGGCCAGGAGCATTTCCTAAAAAGCTCCTGTGGCTCTTTTTATTTTTCAGAAGTGGGTCTTGCTCTGTCCACCAGGTTGGAGTGCAATGACATGATCATAGCTCACTGCAACCTCAACTCCTGAGCTCAAGCTATCTTCCCACCTCAGCCTCCCAAGTGCCTAGGAGTACAGAGGTGCTCCACCACGTCTGGCTCTCGTGGCTTTTAAAGAAAAGCCATATCCTGGCATCTCCCCACACCAACCACTCTTCTTTTACTTGGGCTGCCTCCTTTCACCCCAGGTGAATGTAACTGCATACTGGAAGGATCATTGTGCGTCCTACCTCAAGAGAAGAATTTATCTGTGAAGGATGAGGTCATCGAACAAGTTTTACCAGACAGAAGAATAATAACAACTAAAATAATAATGTTGCACAAATTCAGATGTAAGGACATAATCTGGATGTCATTTATGGAGAAAGAATGGAAACTATCGCCTGCCTTGTTGTCAGTCACATCAATTGCAATTCATCAGCAAATTAGTCTCATCTACCAATCTAACTAAGTATCACTCTTTGGCTTTTGGAATATTACTGGGTGCAAGACTGCAGTCTATACTGTTGTCAATTCAAATCTGGTATGTTTAGTAAAAAGTAAGCTAGCTACTCATTCAGGAAGTTTTCTGTGATGTGCTTCAAAAAGCTGCATAAAAGGGTTTGGGGGATAAAAGGAAAATAGCGATAAATGACCTTACAGCACAATCTCGGGTCTCTCTGGCCTCTCGGCAAGCTTCAGGGCTTCATGCATGCCTGCAGCCGAGAGCTTCCGGTTGATATTCCGGTACTGGCACTGGAGCAGGCTGCGATAGGTGGTCCTCAGGTCCCGGTTGAAGAAGGCATATATAAAAGGGTTAATGAGAGAGTTTGCATAGCCTAGCCACAGAAATGTCCTCTCCACCCACAGTGGGATGCAGCTGCAGGCAGTGCCACAGATGAAGGGTCTGGCTGTCGAGAGGAGGAAAAAGGGCAGCCAGCACACGGTAAAGGCCCCGACGATGATCCCCAGGGTTGTGGCTGCTTTCTGTTCCCGCTTAAAGATGGAGATGTTTTTCCTTTCATGCTTGAGGAGTCTCGAAAGGTTTGCACACTCTTCCACCTCCTTCTGGAGCTTCACTATGCCATTCAGGGCGATGACGCTGTCTGGCTCCACTCGAGGGAAGCCAGGGAACTTGTGTTTAGCAGCGCTCTTCCTGGCAGCCTTGTAAATCTGGTAGTACATGAAAAGCATGACGGACATGGGAATATAAAATGCTACTGCGGTAGAGTAAATCGTGTAGCCAAAGTCCTGGCTGATCAAGCACACCTTATCATCATTTACATTCTGAGCCCATCCAAAGAGTGGAGGTAAAGTGATGGAGGCAGAGAGAAGCCAGACGGAGAGAATCATCTTCGCCATGCATTTCCCATTTTGCCTCACAGGGTATGTGAGGGGCCTTGTGATCCCAAGGTACCTAGCGGAGACATGGAAAAATAACAGGTGAACACTGAGATCATAACTGGTCAACTGAGCAAGTCCTGCCAGCCAAATACTCACAACAGCCCTTCTAGGTAGGCATCATTAGTCCCATTTTGCAGAAAGGTCACCTAAGGCTCTGAGATGTTACCTATTTTATTCCAGGTCACACACAGGCATTGCCAGGTTGTAGCCTGAGAGCCCTACGACTCTAATGTTAGTCCATGCTTTTCACGTGCTTTATAGTTTTTCACTTGCTTTATAGTTTTTCACAGTCCATGTAGTCAACAAAGTTTAAAGAGCTCCCCCCTCCCCATGTCCCCAGCCACCAAAATCAGCGAGGGCAACATATCAATTCTGATGTGGGATATTGTGACACATTCTCAAAACTTAACCAAAGTCTGCCACACTCTGATATTATACAACCAGTGATCACCCAGTTGTCTTAATTTAGGCCAGCATTTAATTCATTTTAGCTTTCCCTTTGTATTACAGCAAAAACATTTCTTTAAGATCACACAGATTTGTGAGATAGTTCAGTGCTGGAATGGGAAGCAGAAATGATCATTATTATTATTTTTTTTTACCCACAGAAAATTCGCACACACAGCAGTATCAGAGGAACAATCTAAAAAATAAAACAGCCTGCTTTCTCTCTCCGGTTCTTAGGAGAATCGCAAAACAAGGATACAATTCTGAAAGATATTAGGCAAATCCAATATTTTCTCTGTGTTTAGTTCTACAGAAGACATAAATATTACTCCCAGTCTGTTATCAAGGATTTGTAATGCAAACGAGTCTCTGCAAGCAGAGAAAACATATACAAAAAAAGATGTTCTGCCAAATGCTTAGTATTTTTCAGCTTTCCAACCCTGTGTTTTCCTCATATTTAATAGTCTTAGCTTCTATTTTGGGAAGCTAAGAGCACTTGAGAAGCAAAGGCCAAAAAAAGCTGGTCATTATGTTGTTCTTTTTACTTCCTGTATGTATATAAAAGATAATTCTTGAAACATTAAAAGGAAAGATAAAGAGAGTTCCTAACTTACCAACAGCTTATTTTCTGAAAGTTGGTCAGCTGGTAGGTTAGAACTTAAAAAACAATTTCTGCTAGAAATATCTTTTAATACGTAAATTATCCCACAAAAGTCCAAAATCATACTTTCACATAAAAATTAGCATCTGCAACACTTACAGGAAGACAAAATAGAAATATAGTTAAAAAAAAAAATGAGCCAGATATTCTTATTCCTCTAGAATGAGTTCCTTTAACAAGTATTAATGGAGCTCGTTTCACTGGACAGCTACTGCTCCAGGTGTTGGGGATATGGCAGTGAGTAGAAGAGACAAAAATCCTGTGTGCAGGCAAATGGGGAAATCAGGTTGAATGAAGAGGAAAACCCAAGGCCATGGTAATGTTGAAGGGGACTTCTGATCCCTTCCAAGGATTCAGGCATTCATGATGCTGGTTCTTCATTTGCCAATTTCTGCCTTCCCTTTTCGTTAGTAAAGCTGACCCTTCAAGCACTAGGTTTATCAGCTGTAGTTAGGATTATGATGTGGCTCCCAAACAAAATGAGGGAAGAGAAAGAGGGAGGCTTTCCTGAGAATGCAAGAATAAGAGCTAAGAAAAAGGCAGGCAGCGTGGGGAAAAGTAACTCGGAAGAAGAGAGGGAGGGAAGGAGTAAGGAAGAGGGAAAAGGGAGGAGGGAGAGAAAAGGAAAACCTAGTCCCTGGTCTCTACCAGCTCCTGTGAATGTGGCCTTTTGGGAACCTTCCTTGTTTCCTCAGCAGCCTTTCCCATACCTTGACTTAGATTTCTCATCTCTCTTTGTCTACAGCCCCAGCATAAACTGCCTGTTCTCAAACCTGGATGTGGCATCCAAGACAAGACCCCAGAATGGTGCCTCAGGTTCACCAAGGAGTAAGTCCAGTAGGTAGAATTTACACAATTCCCCAGCAGGCCACCAGATGGCATTGTCAGACCATCTTACATCTACTCACTGGGATTAGGGGTGTATCGATTGGGGTGATGATTGAATAGGTGTATGCTGGAAAAATTACGACAAAAAAAAGAAGTTAGATTTCATTTGTGGATTATTTAAAAAATTAGCAAGCCGGAATTCACAACCTAGTAAACTCCTGTTTTGAGGAAATCTGTTTTCTCTCCCATTTCTTCACATTTTCCTTACTAGAACTATGCCTTCCCACTTAAGTAACAATCACATCCATCTTTTTCCTGGCTACATAAATAATACAAAATTCACAAAGTTTAATCCTGAGAGCTTAATGGAGTACAAAGGACATTTCAGAATATTAGATAATCTCATTAAAATGGTATGTTTATTCATTCTAGTACACTTAGGCTGACACATTATATTTCAATCATGATAATTAGTCCATATTCAGTCTGCCCTGGAAGTATAAATTATATTTCATAAACTCTGTTCTACTTTAGGCACCATTCTATAATGGTTTTAAGACATCCTACAATAAGGTAGTTATATTTACTTCTTTAGTCTCTTCATTTCCACCTGCTGAGACTTTGTAAGGCTAAAATCAACTGAAATATTACCAGAAAAAAATAAGTGCTCACTAAAGTGTCTGGATATAAAATAAATAAACAAAACATCTTATGCTTTAACCATTAACAATTAGAAAATAGTGTGGAGATGATGCCGTTAGCAACAACTAAAAACATCTAGGAAAAAGTTTTTTAAAAATAATGCCTAGAGCCTACATGAAGAAAATACAAAATGCTACTGAGGTATATTTTTTAAAATACTTAAATCCATGGTGGAAAAAACCTGCTTTCTCAATAAGAAAATCTAGTATTATAAAAGTACCAATTTCCCCTCAATCTATAAATACCACATAACCCCAACTGAATAAGCTGGCATGGCTTTTGTTAATCTGACCTAATGATTTTAAAGTTCACTAAGTCAACATGTAAAAATATACAGATAATCTGAAAAAGAATAATGAAGGGATACTTTTCCTATTTTTAAAAAGTATAAAGTCACAGAAATAAAATCCCCAAAATAATTATTCAAAAATATATCAATTAAACAGGATAGGTTCAAAGGGATTCAAATATATAAGGGAATTGAATATAAAAGGAGTCGCTTTAAATCACTAGTAAAAATTGGATATTCATGAAGTCTCTCAACTAGCCAGCAATTGGGGTAAAAATGTTACTGGCTTCTTAACTTTCTTTTGATAAAATATAAATCCCAGATGGATCAAAGATTATCATGTAAAAAAATTAAACCCTATGTCTATGAGAAAATATTGGTGAGTATTTCTGCAATCCTGAGATGACAAAGGCCATTATTAACTATAACACAAAAGTTTGAAAGTATAAAATGAAACATCAATAAATGTTTGTAACAAACAAAATAAATGACATTTATAAGTGACATTTAGTTTAATTTAAAAATCATTCTGTGAAGAGTTAAAAGTCAAATCATAAACTTGAAATCTAAATGGCAATATCACAATATTCACAGATTTCCTACAGGTCAATATGAAACACAATCATCCCATTGTAAGAACCTCAGAGTTTGTAAAAGGAAAAGAAAAAGAAAAAAGAAAAAGCTAACCATCCCAATGAAAATACTTAAGCAATTGATCAAAGAAGAAAAACTAATGGCCAAAGCCAGGCACAGTGGCTCATGTCTACAATCCCAGCATTCTGGGAGGCCACGATGGGAGAATCACTTGAGGCCAGGGGTTTGAGACCAGCCTGAGCAATGCAGTAAGACCCCATCTCTATTTGAGAGAGAGGGAGAGAGAGAGAGAGAGAGAGAGAGAGAGAAACTAATGGCCAATAAGCACTTAAAAATATGTAAACTTCAATAATAAAGAGATGTAAATTTTAAGATAATATATATTTTTATCATTTGCCAATGTTTAAGAAAGACAAAATCCAATATTAGAAAACTGCGAAAAAGCAGTCATTCTATTATGTTGCCATTGGGAGTGTCAACTGAAGTAATTCTAGAACACAGTTTGGCAATTATCAGACATCTAGCATTTTGTCTTAAGAAGATAATTGTACAAATGCAAAATGACTAGTGTGCAGAGATGTTACTAAACACATAACAGAAGAAAAAAAGATGCAATCTAAGTATTATCAACAGGAGATTAGATATAGTTTATATACTGTATATGATATGTATAATGGAACCATTAAAAATTATTACGTACATCTGTCTTTACTGACACAGAAACAACAGAAGAGTAGATTAAAAACACAGCTCTTAAAAATAAGTAATAGAAAATCATATAACATACAGTTTTAACCTTTCTATATAAAACTGGGTGTATGCTTGTGTGTGCATGTCTGTGCATACTCAGATGTCCACAAGAATATCAACTAAAATATCAATAATAGTTTTACCTGAGATGTAGAAATTTTAGTGGTTTTATATTTTCTTTCTATTTTTCTATGATTGATATTTTTGTAGTGAGCATGTTAAAAAAAAAAACCCACTATTTTAAGCACAAAATGAATGGTTTAAGAGGATTCTGAGATTCCTAAAGTACCTAAATGATTTTGGCAATAGAAACAATCTGGTTCATAAAATCTTTAGAGAGCTAATAATTTTTATATTGTTTTATTTGATTAGCTTGTCAAAAGTGCTTTATGATAATACATAAATAAGTTCATACAAAAGAAAAAGAACTCATTGGCATTTAAAATCCTATAATTACTACATAAAGTAATATTGGTATTCAGGGAAGTGTTTATCTAAATTACACATTCATTCTTCCAAACCTTATATAGGATAAATCTTACCTTCAAGGGAGAGAAAGAAAAAAAGAAAAAAACTCGACTGATTTTGAATATTCCTTAATTATTCATGTTTAATATTTATCACACTTAACATTTTATCCTCACTGTTAATTAGAAAGCAGGATGCTTATAAAACCTTCAAAATTTAACTTTAAATGTATACAAATGTGAAAGTACAGTCAATCTCAGAGACAAAAGC